TAGAAACAAGTTTCCTTTCCCCTTTGTTTCAATTGCCTGGTGATAAGAAATGAGCAACTGCAGTGCTGTGGGAGGTCAAAAGATGTGGAGGGAGTAAGGGGATGTATGGATTCAGTGAATGTGGATGGCACTTAAACATAGCATGAGGCTGAATGTCTTGTTGGGGATCCTGCAGAGAAGGTTATTCCTGCTGATCCTCCTGCTTCAACTTCCAGAGCTTTCTTGAAGGGGGTTTTCTTGCTTCTGTACTGTACAAAGCTTCTGCTCACCCCTTCCCACAGCAGACATTTCCAAGAGCTGGAGGAGTCCGTGCTCTGCTTGCAGAAGTCCTTGTTCTTCCACGGATTTTGGACACATGGCTTTCATTGACACAGTAACAAGAGCCATGTGAACAGGCTGAAACTTCAGTTAAACCTTTAACCTCTCCAGCTCTTGGCTGATTATAATTTGGCTCCTGGAGTATTGGTGCCCTGTCAGTGTGGGGTACCCTGTCACTCTGGGCCCCTAAAACTGATGGGATGAGTTTGCAGAACGGGTCCTAAGCACCAGGTCTGCCACAGTGGTGGTTAATGCATCATATGTGGGCTTTGTGAAAACCAAAGGGAAAATAGAGACTGGAGCTGGATAAGATGTGCATTTAGTGGATGCCACGTGTGACTTTGATTTACAGGTTGTTGTTCAGCCCTGAACACTGTGACCTACAGGAAAACCATTTAAACTGAAAAGAATGAGCTGGCTAATGAACACAATAGGGTTGTAAAGCTGAAAAGCCCAAGTGGAAGAGATCCTACTCACTGCTTGTTGTGTCTCAGAGCCTGGTCCCAGCAAGAGGGGGAGGCAGGAGCTGCTGTCACAGTCCTGGGTAGCAAGTGAGGTCTGTGCTGGGCTGAGCAGCACAGGGACATCCTCCTGGGCCAAGCAGGAAGAGCTTTCCCCATCGCTGGCTTCCAGGTGAGCTGCTGAGTTAGGTGCCTGATAGTGACATTCAGAGAGTTCCTGTGGCTTCTTGATGGGCATCACCAGGTAATGGCAAGGTTGGAGTAGAAGATACTCTGTTTATCTTTTGTTGGGTGTGTTTCTCTAGTGTAACTCTTCTCAGTTTCATACCTTAGATCTGGACCCTTGCTTTGCTGTTAGTGAGTTTGTTGGAACTTGCTGGTGTTTATCTGGGGAGTCCGACTAGAACAAGATGATTTTTCATTTCCAGAAACAGCAAATCCAAGTGACACAGGCACAGACCAGCTCCCTAGGTGCCTATAGACTGGGAAAGCTCAGGAATCCTGGGTGGTAATCCTCTTGGGTGGCTTTCCCCTAAGCTATAAGAGGTGCTTGGAGAGTGGGTGACTCCAGATGTCAGGTCTGTCAGAGCAGTGCCATCCATGTCTGTTTTGGGCTATCCTAAGATAACCATGGGATTGAAGACAGGTTATTCATTGCTACCCTTTACCTTCTGAAAGGCTGGTGGCCAGGTACCCACCGAGGAGGATCAGAACTTAGTCTACTTGGACTACTCTGGGTGCTGTCTGGCCATCTAGATAATTGGTCCATCAGACCTAAAGCCATGAAGAATGAGTTGAGCTTGACCATGGTGACTCTTGGCTTCTCTGAAAACCTGGTGCACAAAAGCCCATTGACTGCTCTGTGGTTATTTCATATGTGGGCAGTGAAGGTCATGTAAAACACCAAGTTTCTACTAGATGGCCATAATGAAGAAGGTTGAACCTTCAGGCAGTTCCTCACTTACATTTATAATTTTAAATAATTCACCTCATGCTCAGGAATAACGATGCTTCTGCTTGCACTGCTCGGGAGCCTGGAATGGGATTGTTTCCCTGAGGAGTTGTAATTACTGTAGTTCAGCAGCCCTGCCTGTCAGACAGGCACCTAAAATGAACAGTGTGTAAAGTTTCACTAAAATCTTGGCTTTTTTGGGGGAACACAACGTTGCACCACGAACCAAATGAACTGTTCTTTCTTTTTTTTTTTTCTGGTGTCAGTTTTGAGGGTGTTTGCTCTTGCAGTGGAACACGGTGAGTCTGGATGTGGTTTTAAATCCTGTTGTGGTGTTTGTTCAGCCTTGGGCAGCCTTCCTGCCTTTCTTTACTTGGGCTTTGCTGCTGAAGGGTTTGCTTATCCCAGCCATGTTGCAGAGGTGTTTGTGAGAGCTAATGTGACCTGTATCTTGATCGTTAGCCAAACCCTGTAATAAAGAACTGCCAGTGTGCCGAAAGTCGGGCTCCAGTAAGACTAGAAAAACAGCTTTCATCTTTTGTGAATATGGATGCAGAGCCCCCCAGATTTCATGTGATTACAGTTCCCTGTACAGTAGGTTGAATTTGGCTGTCCTTGGCACGGTGTGTCACATGTCAGTGCCATGAGATCTGCGTGTTGGGGCACTCTGCTGAGCATGAAAACAGGCTGCAAGTTGTGTTTCTGATTTAATTTATTCTTATACCTGTGATAGGAGAGACATACCTGTCACAGATGTTTTTGGCAATAAACCTCTGTAGCCATCTGTGGTTATTAAACTTAGAGTCTTTTTAAAATATGACTCGTTGGTTCCTAATCTGTGTGCTTTATTCTCTTGTGCTATTAAGCATTGAAATGACAAAGGTGGCCTTATTTTCTGCTTATGGAGCCCTGATTCCTTCCCACTCCTTTATATTTGATGTCTTCTGTAAAGATGGAAAGCTCTAAGCATCCTTATAGCCTTTGGTTTTCATTTCTTAAGGTGAAGCTGTTTCTTGGATGTAATGCTGTCCCTCTGATGGAGCTCATCTTGGCATATTGTCATTTATGAGACTGAGATGAAGCTGGAATGTCAGACATTTGCCCCCCCTCCCAAAAAAAAAAAGTTAATGAAGAAGATGTGAGGTGGAGGAAAACTTTCAGAGCAGGACCCAAGGGAGAAGGTTTCTCTCAGGGAGCTGGCTGAGCTCCACTGGGAGCACCACAGTCCTTGTTGCCAACAACCTTTTCAGTTGGGAACAGTATTTCTGTTACTGCCCTTCCTGTGCCCATCATGGGTCTCTTGGACATTCCCCATGTGCAGTGCTGTGCATGCCCCCTTTGGCTGATCTTCTCAAGAGTTGTTCCAGCCCCAGCCCACCAAGCCCAGAGAGCAGGTTGGAGGAGATCCTGTTGATGAAAGGAGTTTGTACAGTCATGCCTTATCTACTGCTCTCTCCTTGTTCAGATAAGGTTTAGACCAGGCAGAAGTCCTGCTGACTTCCAGGAGCCACAAACTGCTGCAGTTATGCCATAGAAATTGCCAAGTGTTGGCTCTGGAGTCTAATGTGAACTAAAGTGTCAATATTCATCTTTCTTAACTCTTAATCAGTTTTAGCAGAAACTAAGTTCTTAAGCTATTTGATGAAGTCCTGGTGCTCTTTTCTTTCTTCTGATGTTAGACCTTTTGCAAGGCTTTGAAGTATCTTGCTTTGAGGGCTTTTATGTTTTTCAGGCTTTCTAGGAGCTCAGCCTGATCTGTCAAGCCCATTACTTGTGAAAGAGCTGTTGAAGTGTTGTGGACTGAGCCACAGTGATGGCTGAGGCTGAACAAGTTTCACAGTTCGTTTCACATAAGCACTCAAGTTTGGCTTGTCTCTGCAGCTGCTTTGGGTGTCCTCTGTCAGCCTTCTCTGGCAGCAAAAACTCCTTCCTGGGTGTGCTTTAGGCATTTCTGGTTGGTGGCACCCAGAAATTTCAGCTTAAAGTTTTGCTAAAGAGTCCAGGTAGCTTTTATTGTGCAAGTCTCCTGCACAACACCCCCTACACCAGCTGTGTGGGACCTCAGTGCTACTGAGAGCTGAGGATGACTGAAGGTCTGTGGTGTATGACTTATTTTGCAAGCTTATTTCCTCCATGTGTGGTTTCTTTTGGGGCTTTACTTAACCTCCCCCTTTTTTAATGAAGTCCACACGTCCTTGTCATTTGTTCCCCTGGGGCCCAAAGTTTGTGATAAGAGAGTTTGACACTGAGGTCAGCAAGAGTTGAGTCACTGCTTCTTGTTTGCTTCAGTTGACTCTGTTCCCATTCAGACACCAGTCACGTACTTAAGGGTCTTCTTGTGTATTATGGGGAGTTTGGCCAATCAAGGGTGTGCTGGAGAGTGTGAACAGGACAGTGAATTCCAGCATCCTTGCAGTTTTCCTTCTCCAAGGCAGCAGAGCATTGCTGGAGGGCTGATGCTGCAATAAGAGTGCTCTTTATTGCTGGTTTTATGGAGTTCAGTGTCCAATCTAGTGCCCTGGAAGGCCGTGCATGAAGGTTTGTAGATGCTTCCTGTTTAGAGAGATGCTGTTTATATTGAACTAACCCCAGGTGTCTGCTCACTGCTGGGCTTGCTCCAGCAAAGGGCACAGCAGCAGCTGGGGAAAGCAAGGAATTTGTGAAGGCAGCTCTGTGGTCCCACAGACGCCATTAGTGCCCTCGGTGGGACTCTCAGTGCTTCCTGGATCCACACACAGGGAGTTCTCATAGCGCCAGGTACTAAAACATCGGTGCCTCACTCATTTTTATTTTCTTCTTTTATGTTTTTTTATTTTTTCTTTTTTTTTATAAAAGGATGACTCTGGAATTATTTTTCAAAGCAGCAGTTCCTTGGGCTCCTTTTGATCCATAAGCACTTACCCACCACTCCTGTGCTTTCGAGCTTATTCGCACTAATTGCTGCCACGCAAAATTCCCTCTGGGGCTGTGACCAGGCTGGGGTAGGTGGGCATTGTAAAGGAGGGTGAAGACATGGGGTTGTTTCTCTGTGTTCTGTGTGAAACCTGCAGAAACTGGGCAGCAGATGGAGGTTTCTGTGCAGATTTGCTTTCCTGCCAAGGAAGATGTGTGAGTAACGGGGTCGCTCGGGCTTAACCTTCACCGGGTGTAAACCTGCAACCGAAGTTGTTGTCCCAGATGTTTCCTTTTTGTAATTGACCTTTCTTGGTGTTTTGGCTGCCTTCTAGGATTTATCCTCGTACCAAAACCTCTTTTCCCTTGATTCACAGGCTCACCTTTGCACAAGCAGGGTCCCGCCTCCACCGCCAGCACTGAGAAGTCAGGTTCGAAGGTCGCCGAGGTGGGCGATGATTTCCTGGGAGACTTCGTGGTGGGCGAACGCGTCTGGGTGAACGGAGTGAAGCCAGGAGTGATCCAGTATCTTGGGGAGACGCAGTTTGCTCCGGGCCAGTGGGCAGGGGTTGTTCTGGATGACCCGGTGGGTAAGAATGACGGCTCCGTGGGGGGAGTGCGGTACTTCGAGTGCCAGCCGCTGCAGGGGATTTTTACGCGACCGTCCAAGCTGACGCGGCAGCCAGTGGCCGAGGGCTCGGGCAGCGACGCCCCCTCCGTGGACTCGCTGACGGCTCAGAACTTGTCCCTGCACTCGGGGACGGCCACGCCGCCTCTCTCCACTCGCGTCATCCCGCTGCGGGAGAGCGTCCTGAACAGCGCCATGAAGACGGGCAACGAGTCCGGGTCCAACCTCTCGGACAGCGGGTCTGTGAAAAAGGGGGAGAAGGACTTACGGCTTGGAGATCGTGTGCTGGTGAGTTGATCACGGGGTCCCCCTTTGACAAGGATTTGTCCCCTCCCTGAGCGTTCCTGGTCGGGTTCAGGATGACCCAAAAGGAGGACACGGTTGGTGGTGAGGCGTGGGATGGAGCGTGGTCTTGGGAGATGCCTGGGCCAAGCAGGCATCAAACTTCCGTGTTCACTTTTATTTGGGATGCTGCATCTTCTGGATTTGTCTGTCTTTCACATTGGTGCAAGAGAATTTGTTCCAGAGCACCTCTTGTATTGAAGTCCTGAGCAGTGAAGTGAGGTCGGAGAGAGCAACTGAAACATGAGGGAAATAGAAAAATCATTGATTGTCGTGTCCTAATCCAGTGATACTCCATAAGGGTCTGTATTATTGGGGCTTTTGAGGAATTTGCAGCAGTGTCTCTTGTTGCTGTACATACTCAGCAAGGATTTGCAAGAATCTCTCCTTTGGTAGTTCAGTTTTTATATGTCAGATGTGACATTAAGTCCTTTCCTGTACAGAAGTGAACTTGCAATCACTTTTACAAAAGGGAGGACTTCGGGAGAGATCACTGGGTGGGTTCTCACACCTGGTGTCTGTTATTTTCATTATCTCAAATAGAGTACCTGATGACTTTAAGCCAAAATGCCACACTTGCACTAGGAATGGCTTACTGGAAGCTTGCCAGCAAGCTTGTCACCAGTTATGTCCTAGCTTTTGTGGAGATGGAAAAGGAAGATGTCAAAGCCAGGAAGACTGAGTTCTGTGCTGCAGCTCTGGAAGAGAGTTTAGTTTTGTTAGTGTGTAGGTGCATATTGTGATATCAAATATTAGAAGAGCCAAGCATTTGAGCACAGATCTGTTGTGATTGTATCCCCAGTAACATCCCTGGATCTAAAAGCTGAGGGTGACTGGCCAACAGCGATGACAGGTTACAGAGGGTGAGTCTTTTCACATCCTGGGTAATCTGGCTCCCATTTAAAGTTATCTGCACAGTGTTTCCTTTTTTGGGCACTTGGTTCCAATACCAGCAGTGGTAGTGGGAGAGTGTAGACAGACTGGACATCTGTTTAATGACAGGGGTTTGGTAGAACTGGCTCCACAGCCAATGTAAATCAGGAGTGTGTGCAGGGACTGTCAGAGCCAGTCTTAAATGTCCTTTTGGGACAACTGCTGGGTTGTCCAATAGTTTTCATTTTAGTGGGAAATAAAGTATAAACAATTTAAAGTTGGTTATTTTCAGAGGAAGGAAAGGGAAGATTGGTTCTGCTTGTGCCCACTGACTGATGGTTAGTAAACCTACTGTGAACATGTAGGTTTGTAGAGATGAGAGTTTTACTTTCTCAAATTTTCCCCAAAATGTGCATTGCATTCTGTGTCACAGCAGGAGCTGACATATCCTCAAGGGTCTGTCTGCTTGCTTACTTTATCAGTCTGCCTCTCTTCTCTCCCCATCCCTGGTGGGAGCAAAGCTGCTGCTTTCCCTGCTGCCTCAGGACAGGGGTGGGTAGGGAAATGTGGCACCACTGTTCTCTGTTTAAGCAAGCACTGATGGTTCATGTTGGTGTGTTAAAGCAGCCACATGTGGGGAAAAATGACCCTGGGGATCTGTCTTCCTTTGATCAGTTTGCTTGCTCCCATTTTCTCCTTTACCTGTTACAGGGAGTGGGAGGAGTGCTCAGGTGAGAACTTAAGATTTTGGTAGCAGCAGTCATAGAAGGCAAACTACAGAATATAAAATCTGTGGTAAACCTGGCTCTGTTCTTTCTGAACCAGCCAGGCAATGGAATCACCTTCTCCAGACTTGTTTAACCCCTCTCTTCTCCTGTCCATAAGCTCACCAAGACAGGATCTGTCCACTGAACACTCTGCTCACCTCAGTGGGGCCCACACAGACTGAGATTTTGGCATAACCAGGCAATACAGCCTGTTGGCATCTCTCCCCTTGGCTTCTGTTCAGTTGTGTTTTGGGGGTGGTTTTTGGTTTTTGTTTGTTTTTAATGAAAGTGCATCCTTAAAATCCCTCCCTCCCTGCTAATTTATCCCCCCTCCAATGTTATTAGATAAAGTGTGTGCTATGATTTGTTAGTGTAATAAATAGCTCCAAAAGAGCGAGTCTGGAATGAGCTCAGCCTTTCACTGGCTCTAGCAGGAATGCTCAGCTTACAGCAACATCAGGAATTGTTTGCACACAGTCATGGAGATCCAGGAAAAGAACAGATAACAAGAAGAAATAATTTGCTGTTATGCTTCATTCACATGTGCTTGGCTTGGCAGCTGGCTCTTTTTTTTTTTTAGTAATGGAGATGTCAGTTAATCATGTTTGGTGTTTGAATACATAAACAATAATTCTGAATTAACCTGAGTTGCCTCAAATTCCCCGAGCAAATCTTTGCTCTTGTCCTCTAGGGATTGGTGCAGTTTTAGTTGTCTTTATTACTCTTAGTCTTTGCCTTTCTGAAAGACTTATCTTTTTATTTGAGGGTGGCTTTTAGGCAGATGGGATCCACCAGAGGCTTTTCAAGTGAGGGAGGACACGTGTTTTCAGTGATTGCTCAGGGGATGGAGCACAAGGTTGCAGAGGACCCTTCCAGGTCTGCCAGATGGACACCTGGCTCTCTGCAGTCTGGTCATTTCCTGATGGTGCCTTTCTTTAACTTCATTAAAGTCTATTATAGCTTGAAGACATTTTTGCTTTTCAATGACTTTGTTCCAAGGCCCTTTCTGCCTCTCCAGCAGTTGCAAAATGTGACTTTTAGCTTTCCATTAGAAGAGTTAGATAATGTTTGCCTTTGGCACATTCTAACTCAGACTTTTTCCTGGAGATGTAAAAATTGCATTAAAGAGATGAAAACCCCACCCTAATATTGTAGAACTCATCTCTTGAAGTCTGACAAATGAATGTGGAACAATTAACCTTTGCTTTAGTGAGAATGGAGCTTCCCAAATAGTGTTAATTGCTGGAGTTCTGTTAAGTGAGGCTGGCTTTTTGCCTTTCTGCAGGGGAAGAAGGGATGGAAACAGAGGAATGGAGCAGTTGAGCATTTTTTGCCTGGGAGGAATTTCTGCTGTTGTTTTTTTTTTCCTGAGAAAATTCTTTGGGCAGGGGGGGCTTTGTCAGTAGCTGAACTCATTCCACCCTAGATGTAGTTGCTTTCTGAAGAAGGTTGGTAAGAAGGTGGCTGTACTATATGTCAGTCTAAATAAAAAATAATTAAAACAAAAAATCCTCTTAATAGAGGTATTCTGCCCTTCAGCCATCCTTCTGTCTCCTAATTAGGATTGTGCTCTTCAGTACAAAAATGTAGTGATAAACAAGGCTGTTTAAGGGCCGGGATAAACTAATCATGTCCTTTCTTCAGCATCCCCCCTGCACACTCCTGTCCCAGCCCTGCTTGGCCAGCCCAGAGCTGCAGAAAGCCTTTAACCACCTGCATGAGAAACCATTTCATGAGAAGCTCCCTGGCCAGGAGAATTCCAGCCTAACCCCTTCTCCTTGGGCAGAGACTGCTCCTTGCTTTGCTGCCACAAGCTCTCTGAGCTGTTTCAGTGGCTGAGACAAAAGCATAGCTGCTGTGAAGGCATGTGAGGTGTCATGAAGGAAGGATTCCTGCCCTGTTTTTCCTGGTTAACCATTGGAGCTCTCCCATTTTGCAGGGGCTGAGAGGTGCAGCGATGCTCCTGTGTGGACTTCACAAACAACCACCAGACATAGTCCTTTATTGCAAACCAGGCAGTAAAGAAAGAATGACCCTATTCTGTAGCTCTGCCAAGGCAGGATTTTTCAGGAAAGGTGTTTTTAAGTGTTCCATTGCCTGCTTGCAGCTCCATCCATAAGGAGACCATCAACTGCTGTGTCATGACCAGAGAGTGTAGCAGTACAACAGAGCCTCAGACCTTGCATGGGAGTGTGGGAGTGATGGATCTCTGTCCCTGTGGAGGTCTGTGACAGGCAGTGGGAAGTGCAGTGTTCTGGTTGTTTGCAGGATTTAAGAGACAAGAAACCATTTAGGACTCCTGGCTGGAGCTCTTTCCTTGCTATAGGAGGCGGTTGCTGAAGAGTGTAGTGACAGGACAAGGGGGAATGGATTCAAACTGACAGAGTTTAGGTTAGATATCAGGAAAAGATTCTTCCCTGTGAGGGTGGGGAGGCCCTGGCACAGGTTTCCCAGAGAAGCTGTGGCTGCCCCATCCAGTGTCCAAGGCCAGGTTGGACAGGACTTGGAGCAACCTGGGCTAGTGGAAGGTGTCCCTGCCCATGGCAGGGGGTGGAACGAGATGAGCTTTAAGGTCCCTTCCAAACCAAACCATCCTGTGTTTCCGTGATTTCCTGGGACTGCAGTGAAACAAAGAGGGAAATAAATAGCCCAAAGCGACTGCCCTGCCCTGTGGCCACATGAACCCTTTGAGGCTCTTTGTGCACACACCCTCCTAACCATTCATTTGGGCTGAGGCATTGCCTGGCCCTTGTCTGCTGAGTGCAATGTCTGTCATTAAATAGGAGCTGTAAGTGGCCTGTGGTGGAGCAAACTGTGTTATTAATGTGGGTGGACTTTGTATCCAAGACAGCCCCAGGAGGGGATGCTGTAATTCCAGGCTTTCCTCTCACACCACCTCCCTAGGACATTATTTTCTCGCTGGTGCCTGACAGATAAATGCACAGCAATGTCTTGCATCAGCAGGGCTGTCAGACTCATTGCTGTGCAATGCTGACTTGTGCTGTGGGGATGGGAAGGCACAGAGATAAGTGGTTGGATTAAAAGAAACTATAAAAATTCCTGTAGCTTCACACACAGAGGGCTGACCTGTAATTCGTGGCTGTCTGTCTCTCCCCTCACCCTGAAAGCCAGTTCTGGTACTCCCAGGTGACATGGTGTTTATCTGATCAGATGAAACTGCTGATGGTTGGATGGCACCAGAAGTAAGTTGTATTTATAGGTAAACCTGACCACAAGCTACACCTCCAGCTTCCCACCAGCTCCTGACCACTGGCCCCAGTAAGTGATGGCCACATTTCCCATAGGTGTGTGCATTTACCTCCTTGTAAATGACCTCCAGGTCATTATTTCAGGTGATCTGTAATGGCTGGACCCACATCCCTGTGCTGCTGCCAAAATCACCCTCTGTAAATCAAGTGTTATACAGTAATTTTCTGCCATCAGTGCTTTTGGAAGACCTAAATTATGTGTGGTGGGAAAACACAACTCCTGCCTCTCTCAGGTTGGGCTAGAAATAGGCTCCTTGTCTGAGTGGATGAGTGTAGGGGAGGAGGAAAAACCCCTCCATTTATCCTCCAGGGAAAGGATGGCTGCTCCAGTTTACAAGCTGGATACAGCCTGCAGGTACAGCTCAAACTGGAGCAAGCAGCACTTGTCCACTAAAGGGGATTTCCAAGTTCTTGTTGGTATCATCCAATAACAGGGTGGAATAAGCTGATGTGCTGCACACGGGAAGTAGTTGAAGGTCCACAGGGTAAAAAGCAAGTGTCCTGTGTCTGCCCTTTCCCCTCATCCCCTTCCTTTCTCTTCCCACAGGTGAGCAGTGGGAGAGCCTCCCAGCTCTGCCAGGGCTCGGGGCAGGAGCCCTGCAGGGACGGCGTGTCCATGTGCCAGGCACTCAGTGTTCCCACCTCCACCCTCTGCTCAGCAGCACTGTCTTGTGGAAGTGCTTTGAAAATAACTTCAAGGGGCAAACTAGAATTTCAAGCGGGGAGCAAACATCATCTCTGTGGGGATGTGCTCAGGCAGGCGCCTCAGCCACTGCTGACCCCCGAACACGCGTGACGTGGTGGGGGACAGTCCCTGCTGGCCTGGATGACACAGAGAACTTTGTGTTTCTTTTCTCACTGAGCAGTATTGGAGGGTGTTGAAGCAGAGAGTTGCCCACAGGCCTTGGGGTGATGGCAACTCCCAAGAGGTTCTTGCTGGGAGCAAGAAGCTGCTGTGGGGTGAGCAGGGAGTCCGTGAGGAGAAAGGGGCAAACACAGGCTGGAGGGGCCTGGCTCACAGCAGCCAGATTGAGACATGGCCTGCTGCTAATTTGGTAAACAGTTCAAATTATGTATTTGCAGCTCCGATGAAGACAGTGACTGGAAGGATTAACATCATTGTCTTTTCAGCCCTGGGATACTGGTCTGGATCCAATTTTGTCATTTCGATGGGAGGAGCACAGTGTAAAACGTGATGTTAGTGATAGTACAATTGGCAGGATGTCCTTCCATGGGTGCACGGTGCTGTTCTGACTCACCAGTTAAGACTCAGACCTGCTAAATACTCCTGACTTCGTTTTCTTGTGAAGGTCAAGCCCAAAACTGTCTTGTGAGACTACTGGATGTTTCATTGAGAAAGGGACAAGTCAGGAAGATGGTCTTTGATTTGAGCATTCCAAGAACTCAGAGGAGTGTGGCTCCAAGGCTGCTCAAATCCAACTGGAGAGGATGGGCCACCACAAGCTTGTTTAAAGTTAATCAGAAGTGTTTTTACCTGAAGTGGAGAAACCTGGAATGTTGATGCTGGTCAAAATACTCCCCAAAACAAACAAACAAATCTAATTTTACTGTGTCAGTATTGTTTCCATTTGTTTGAGCTTCAAGAAAGAGCTATTTTTAACTGCTTTTTGGTTTATTTTTGTTATCGTTAGTTATTTGGTTTGAGTTTGTTTTTTTTTTTTCCCAAAAAAACCTGTTAACACTTTTTACATTTGGTAAAATCCCATTCTCTTGGGCATGAATAATCTCAGCAATGGTTTTGGTAAGGTAACTATTAAAGGCGTCTCAGAAAAGCTTTGGGAGTTTTGTTCCTTTTTGAGCAAAACTTGTCAACTCTAAAAGCCATGATGTGTCTGAACTGAGATGGATGTTAATTCTGTGCTGTGTTGGGCTTGAACAAAGGGGTGGGTTGCCCTCTCCAGTTTGTCCTTGCCTCACTCTGGACACTTGGCACGTTGATTAATTTGTGACTGATTAATGTGCCAGGTTGAGAGATGCAGACAGGTTCTCCACAGAGAAAATCTGGGATGTTCTGGGAGGAAATCCTCTGATCTGCAGCTTGATGGTGGCTGTTGTGTTAATGCCACAGCAGCCAAGCATGGTTGGCTGCTGTTCACACCTGGGTTGTGGATAGTGGTATCCAAGCCAGGCATGGGCAGGAGGGGTGGCTGTGTGCTCCCATGAGTTATGCCCTGCCATTGCTAACCTCCCTGCCTTGTACCCTCTCCCAGGGTGATACCTCTGATTTACTGAAGGGTCTGATAGAAGCAAATGTTCTGTTCTGATGAGTCCATTCCACACACAACCTGCCAGCTGGCTTCTTCCAAAAAGCATCACTTATTTTGGCGGCATTAGCAGATTATCAGGGCTCGATAAATCTGCACGTCGGAGTCGGATGAATTTTCTGGGCTCTCCATCCATCAGAGTTTCTGCCTGCCTGCCTGCCTGCCAAAAGATGGGAAGCTCAACAAGAGGGTTCAGTGCTGACATGTGAGTGTGACAGCCTGATATTGGCTCTGTGGGGAGCCCAGGCTGTCGCAGAGCAGATGTGTCCGTCCTGGCTTGGGGCGGGACGTGTTGCTGTATGGCAGGGGTGTGTTTTGTAGAGAGGATGGCAGAATAATTAATGCTTGACAGAGAAAGTAGAATGAGTTGCTCTGGAAGCAGGGAATCACGTGGCTGTTTGGGGGAGTGTTGGACCTGAGCTGCACTTTAGAGCCTTGGCTGATGTGGAGCTTTCAGATGGGAGTGTGACCTGCCCTCTCACTGCACAGTTTTGGTGTTGGCATAATCAGATAATGTGTTTATCAGGTCAATAGGGATAAGTTTTTACTCTCCTGTATGGAAACACCTTCCTCAAATAGTATTGATGAGGATATAACTGAGTGGTCCTTTATGTGGGCAGAGGAGTGTGACACCCCCCCAGTAGATGCCCCAGTCACACTGATGGAGGGACTCATAAGGTTCATAAGGTTTACATGAGACTGTGGGGATCATCTGGCTTGGTAAAGGAAACATGACTCAATATCTGGAATTAAGACTCAATAAAAATAAAATTGAGAAGGCACACCAGCAATGGTAGGTTCTTATAAATGACATTAAGATTAATGACACCTATATTGAGTTCAACTTGCAGCTAAAGAAATGTATTAGAATGACATTAAATCACTGCATTAATATTAAGGGGCTACATCTGTATAAACTCAAGGCAATCAAAAAGGGGACTGGCATTTGACTGTGAGTGATTGGTAAAGAATTCCACTGTTCAAATCAATAACTTGCCAAGTGCCCAATGCTGAAATTGAGTCAACTTTTTACCCTGGGCACAGTGTAGGACCAGAAAGCTTCCTTGTGATCCTTTTCCTGCTGGCAAATATTTTTCTCTATTATATAGCAAAGAGAACAACATCATCAGGGTGTTTTTTTTTTTCCATAAGCAGCAGCATTCTGAATCCCTAGTGAGAGAAATTCCAGACTAACTCAAGCTGCATGCTGCAGCCTCTCAGGACTTGAGGTAGGACCCAGACTGCAGAGCTGTGCTGGTTAGTCCATTAAGGTGCAGTTATTTTTAGCCTGGGAAAACTCTCTTTCCTTTGCATAAGCAACTTTCAGGGATTCACAGTTGGTAAATCTAACAACCCTGCCCTGGGATTAACAAAGCTGGAGATTTCTGCATTTGACTATCACTGTATTCTGTAGGAGAATATTACTCTGTTGATACCTGTTGATGTTAAATTTAATATTAAGAAAATTACTAACTGCAAGTCATTCAGGATGAAGTGGCAAATTGAATTTTAAATGTATTTTTAAGCTTTCTTCCTTGAACCTAGGCTCTGGCAGAGATAGGCTAAAAAAGGTTTAGATCATATGCTGATTTACTAGAAGTAGGAACCTTTAGAACCACCCTCCTACTTTTTCCATCTTCTTTTTCTCATCCCAAGTGTCTAAGTAGGGGTGTTTAGTGCAAAGGCAGAGGCAGCTGCTGCTCAGTGCCATGTGCTCTCAGATCAGTGATCAAAACACAGCTCCAAAGGTTCCTGACTTATGCCCTTCTCGAATCTACTCAGCACGCTGGAGACTTTAATTATACACATGGGAGGAAAAGGTGTCATTTATTCCTAATTTTCCGTGGAGGGGGAAAAAAAACTGTGCTGGAGGAATCCTGGCAGGGAGCTGAGCCCCTCTGCCATGCATCTTGCTGGGAACTGCTGTAGGAAGTGTAGGTAAAAGTGGAGGCTTTTTCTGTGCAAAACACCTCTATTTTGAGCAGTTCCCTACATCCTTAGCAAACCCTGTGTGGGAGCAAGCTAAAGGAGCAATGAGTGCCTTCCTGGCTCAGCTGTCCCTTTGATGTCTTATCCCAGCAGTGCCCAGAACTGGCACCTGGAAGAGCACAGGGCTGAAAACCTGTCAGTGCAGATCATGGTTCTTCACACAAGGCAGGTATGAGCTGTGCCTGCAGGGCTTAAACTCCTTCCTGGCCTCACAAGTAACTTGCTGCAATTAGTTGACGCCTTGAAATATGTTTTCATTCTATTTGCTCTGGCATCTTCCAGGCAGGCAGTCCCAGAAGTGGGAGCTCATCAATTTGCTTGTAGTTATCGGAGAGACAACTTTAGTGCTGGGAGAACTTGGTGTGAGAACTGTCTGCTGCTTTCATTAGATCTGAAACAGAAAATACTGATGTCCTGCCCTCCTTTCCCCATGCTTGTCCCAGCTTCAGTCCCCTGCTGTCCACGCTCTAACCCTCAACTCCTTGTCTCCGACAGGTCGGTGGGACGAAGACGGGAGTTGTTCGCTACGTGGGAGAGACGGATTTTGCCAAGGGGGAGTGGTGTGGTGTGGAGCTGGATGAGCCCCTGGGCAAGAACGACGGGGCCGTGGCTGGTACCAGGTACTGTGTGCTCTGAACCCCAGCCTGGGGCATGGAGGGTCCCACACACCTCCTGGGGTGGCTGGGAACAAGTGCCCTCGGAGCTGGGAGGAGAGCTAGGGCTGTGCTTGCTTGGACATTGTGGGCTGGGAGGAAGAGTCCAATTTTGAGCCTTTTAGGCTTTGGGGTGGCCTTGCAGGGAGATCAATACAAACCTCATTGCTGGGGCATTTTAAAGCACAATCAGATAACATCTGTGAAGAAGGAACCTGAGTAGCTTCAGGAAACAGGAGAGAGAGTAAGGAGAGAAGATAGCTTACAGTGGGATTTAGTTTTTGCTAGAAATTGATTCTGTGATTATATTAGCTCTGCTTTCTCCCACACGTGTCCTCCCATAAACTTTTTTCTTGTGCTATATTTATAATTCACCCTGTCAGAACTATAGAAGACACAGATTTGACTCTTTTCTCCTCAGCTTAATATTGTTTTATTCTGTTCTTTCACAGGATAAATTCCAGAGATCTGAAAAAACAATTGGTAGTTGTTTTCTGTCCTTGTGCTAAATCTATAATGTGACAGTTGTCTGCTGATTGATCTTACCACCTCTGACTCCATAGGCACCTCCACTATCTTCTTTTCCTAAAAAGGCCCTTGTTAGTACCTATAAAACTATGTAGGGACATCTTGCAGACTTATTGGGAAGCTGTTTCTGTTCCTGTTGAATTTAGTTAAGGGAATGACCCCAGCATCAGATCTTGAGCTTGGGGATGTTCAAATACAAGTTATGCAGCAGCACTTTGACTCTGCTTCAAATGCAGGTGGAACTGATTCCTTGTCCTTCACAACTTCCTTCAGTGGGAAATACTGTTGGTTTTCTTGGAGCTTCTTAAGGCAATCTGGCTTAAGAGGAGAGATTTAACTTTGAAACTGAGGAGCTGGGAGTTCCTGCCTTGTTACATCTCAGGTTCTGTAATAAAGGTTTCTTGTGTCTTGTCCAGCAGCCATGTGCTTTCATTTTAATTAAGAGAAATGCTGCCTTGTTCAATGTCAGGGCAAGACAGCAGTAAATGAGTGGCAGCAGATGGCAGAGTTCCAGCCTGTTCTCAAAAAAGAAGAACCAGGATGGTAGAGAATAAATCATGGAGTGAATCCAAGTCCCTGCTTTCTTTATCAGACACTTCAAATTATCTCTAAGTTTCATTTTCAGGGTGCTCAGAAATGATTTATGGTCTCTGTGCATGTGGAAGGTGTGAAAGGCAGATCTGAGTGCAGGGGTGTTCTCTGTGCCTCTCATCCTCACACCCCTGTTGCTGTAGTTTGAAAATTCAACTTTTGGAAGTCATCTGTCTTCTGAAACTGCAACATCTTGGCTGAGGTTGTTTTGGTGTGTGCCCTGTGTGCAAAGGCTTCTCCTTTGCCTCTCACTGTTAAGAGCAGGTTTGCAGCGTTGTCCCAGTTTGTCCTTTGAGCCTTCATCCAGCCCTCTGATTTCCTTATGGCAGTGCTTTGGAGAAGCCAACATGGTAAAACCAACTCCCTTGGTGCCTGCAGGCACTCCTCAGTCAGCATTCCCCACGTTTGCTGCGGCCACGGGGAATTCCTGACGCTGCCCTGAGCTTGTCCTGCCGGGATCCGCGTGGGCAGAGGCTGTCCAGGACTCTGGAGTCAGTGCTTTGGTGGTGGTTGCCATCTAGTGAGCAACCCTGGCCTGGCTGCCCGAGGCCAGCACTGGCTGCTGCAGCAGCAGCTGCAAAAGGAGAGTGGAGCTCAAAGAGCTGACTCGAGGCACTAGACAGGGGTGGAAGCAGGAGAGGCACGATGGAGCAAAGGGCACTGTCACCGTCTTTGCTGCCCTGGGCAAGTCCAGTTGAGTTGGTGGTGAATTGGCTGAAATTTGTGGCAGGTCACTTGATTTTGCTGCAGGTCCAGGTCTGGATGTGCAGCGAGGGAAGGCTGAAGGGAGCTGGAGGCTGCTTGCAGGCTGTGGGTCAGTAGCAGTGCCCCAGAGGACAGGGCATCACTGTGGGGAGCCCCTCTGTACATCACATGGGTGCTGATTTGCACTGAGATTTGCTGCATCTGCTTTCCTGTCTGCACAGGAGACTACAGAGGTGCTGGTGTGGTTTGGTTGTTTCTTATCCACAAAACCAAGCAAGTTCCATGTACTCATCTTTAGTGTATTATCCTTTGCCTGCTTATTTTGCTGTTCTTCCTTCTCTGCTCTGCTCTCTTAGGAGCCTTTGCCCACTAAACTGCTCAGAACTTTGCTTTTGCATAGTCTGTGACATGTCAACCTTGGACACTGAAGCCTTTTTTCATCTATTTCAAAATTTCCTGTGCTGTTTCCCACCTGCAGTTTTGCACTGCCATCACAACATCACTTTTTTTCCCCCTGTTTCCTCTCTGTAATGCGAGTCTGGAGCTCCTCAGCACTTAGTTTTCAAGTAGATTTTTTTTTTTTTCTGCCAAGTGTTCTGGACCCAATTCCTGCTTCTGAACTGTAAAAGTTAATTGCAACCACTTCCAATCTGGACTGAAAGAAAATGAGCAGACGTAGTGAAGCAAGTTTGGGCTTGCAAAGAGCTGTCAAGGGGCTTTTGAAGTGCCTTTGACACTGTTGTGTAGCACCAGCCTGTGCTTACACCAGGCAGACCTGTGGAAGGGGCTGTTGCCTGCCTGCACCTACTGGAGTTTGGGAATATGATGCTGAGCAAGGCTTGGCTGGTTTGTAAGAGGTCAGCCTGTGGTATGGCTGGTTTTCCAAACCCAAAGGCCTGTGTTGGCAGCAAGCTGAAGAGGCTGAGAGATTTGGGATTGTAGAGGGGTTGTTTAAAGTTTGTTATAGGGGAAAAAAATGGGTTTGAGCAGATGTTTGAAAAGGAATTTTATTTTCATCTGGCTGGAGATCAGGCTGTTCCCTGGCCTCCAAGTACACAGGGGTCTGCCTGTGACACAGCTGTATGGCTGCCAGCACTTAAAAATAAAAGGGAATTAGAGAAACAGCTGCTCACATCTGGAGAGGGAGGACTTGTGCTAGTAAAGCTGGATTTGTGTCATTTAGTCATTAGAACCTGTTTTTTATGTTAACATAGGACAGGCTGTTTTATGACCCAGTGTTTAGTCCTAGCCTTGCTGTGGAGCCTGTGAGAAAGAGCTCTTACAGGAGAGAGCTTTCAGTGTTGGCTGCTCCCCTGAAACAAGGGGATGTGATGCTGGACACAATCTGGTTTTCCTTGCTGCAGTGCAGGTGGCCAGCAACAGATGAACTCTGGCTTGTTCCAGCCAGCCCGAGCCCTGAAGGGGTTTCCAGGGTTTGACACTGTGTTTTGGCTCATTTTTATTCTGGAAGAGGGCTCTGGAGAGTCACAATCATTGGGATCACTGCCGTTGTGGAAGAGAGCTTGCACTGTAGTTATCCGATTCTTCCTGATTCTCCATCTTCTGTGCTTGCATCTTTCTAAGTTTGTTTGCATGGGAACCAGTTTCTCTGCCACCCAGAGGAGGTGTCACACACTGGAATTCGCTGTAATGGTATTTTTACCTTCACAGTTAGGAGCTGCCATTTCCCCCTTCTGTTTCAGTAGGGAAGTTTTTTACCTTGTATAACATTTATTCAGTGCTGTGTGATTCAGACTTTTTAATTAAACACAGAATGCCAGAATGGTTCAGGTTGGAAGGGACCACAGTGGGTTATCTGAGAAGGGTCTCCCACCTCAGGAAGGGTCATCTCAGAGCACATGGCACAGGAATGTGTCCAAACAGTTCTGGAATATCTGCAGCAAGGGAGACTCCACACCCTCTCTGGGCAGCCTGTTCAGTGCTTGGTCACTGCCCAGGGAAGGAGTTCTTCCTCATGTTCAGGTGGAAATTTCTGGGCATCATTTTCTACCCATGACCTCTTGTCCCATTGCTGGGTGCCCCCAAGCACAGCCTGGTCCAGCCTTTGACACCTCCTTTCAGACATACTTTACTACCTGACTTTCTTCAAAGCAAGGTAGAGAGAACACGCAGGTTTTGGGAGGGTTGGTTTGTTGGGAAGGTTGGATTGTAAGGAAGCAATCCTCTGGCTGTGCTTGTGTTCTGGGATGTTTGTGCTCTCCAGGCTACCAGATGGGTCTTTCCTGGCATCTCATCAAAGTGCACAGCAACTAGTGCGTGGCAATTATCTCGGGATTCCCTGCTAAAGCACCACAAATGAAAACAAGGAGATTGCCAGTACAGGAAAGGGGAAATAATCCAACCACTTGCACGCAGGAAACAATGTCACAGCAAAGCACCCAGAGATGAGCTGAGGGATTTGTACTGCTTGGCAATGCCATTCTGCAAGGCTTGGGCGAGATGGATGCTCTGCCACTCGTGACTTGGTGCATCTCCTGTTTTCCAGGTATTTTCAGTGCCCTCCCAAGTTTGGCCTCTTTGCTCCCATCCACAAGGTGATCCGCATTGGGTTCCCATCCACCAGCCCTGCCAAGGCAAAGAAGAGCAAGAGGATGGCCATGGGAGTGTCAGCCCTGACCCACAGCCCCAGCAGCTCCTCCATCAGCTCCGTCAGCTCCGTGGCCTCGTCGGTCGGGGGCAGGCCCAGCCGCAGTGGGCTGGTAAGTGGCTCCTTCCATGGACTGGGCAGCCTCGATCCACATCTGTGACCAGGCTCCACAAAGCGGTTGGGGTTTTCTTTCAGCAGCTCTTCCTTCAGTGAGGTGGGAGGAGTGGAGTGTGGGATGTTGTTACCCACTTTACAGATGGTTTCCCTCCGTGGACGCAGGAGTTGTAACAGACACGGAGCGACTGTGACTGTTAAAGAGGCTGAAATGTGATTTGCAGTGTGATAGTCTGGGTTCTGCTGTCAAGGGCAGGTTTATGAGGGATCCCTGCAGAAAAAGGCCACTGTTTCAGTCCCACAGGGTTGTGAGCAGTGTGCTCTGCAGTGACCAGCTGTGCAAAGCTCCTGCAGTGACTGGAGGGTGACGCTGTCCTGGATCACATGCCTGGGGCTTTGGCAGGTGCTCAAGCAGGGGGACAGCAGAGCAGGCAGCAATATTATTAAAAGCTCTGGCTCTGTCATAGTGTGTACTGCAGAGCACCTGCAGTCCACTTGGCTGGGGATGAGGGTGCAGTGTCACTCTGGGGAGTGGATCTGGTTTCTAGTTGAGATTATTCTGCCCAGCTGAGCTCACTTTTTGGGACTTCACCAGTGCAGGTCACCAATAAAATGTATTTAAGAAGGCAGATGATACAATGCATGATAATCTTTCCTGACCCAATTCACATCCCACATCCTGTACTTTTGGAAATGGTCCTTTCATTGCAGTGCAGAGGAACTGCTGAGCTTTTGTGAGCATTGTCCAGGTGCTTCACAGACTTAACCTCACCTGTGTGGTCCAGAGCTGCAACTGCAGCTCTGTACAGCTGAATAAACGATCATTAGGTGAGCAGATTTAACAGGGGACTTCAGCTATTCTGGGCTGGGGAGGACATGGCTTTACCCCATCTCTTTTTAACTCTTTTTCCAGCTGACAGAGACCTCTTCTCGATACGCCCGAAAAATCTCTGGCACCACAGCTCTGCAGGAGGCACTGAAGGAGAAGCAGCAGCACATTGAACAGCTGCTGGCAGAGCGTGACCTGGAGCGGGCAGAGGTGGCCAAAGCCACCAGCCACATCTGTGAGGTGGAGAAGGAGATTGCCATCATGAAGGCCCAGCACGAGCAGGTAGGAGGTGATGTGGCTTTCTCACTAGCTCTCAAATATCTGAGTATTTGATATCCCCTGAAAGTTTCAGGTTGTGACATTACCCCTGTACGTGAAACTTGGGCTCTGCATTTCTAATTTTGATGTGGTGAGTTAAGCTGAGGCTCTTTCTCCATTCTCCCAGTGTCACATGTGCTCTCTCTGCCCCGAGCCAGGAGCAGGAAAAGGGCTGTCTGTGCCAAATAAAAGGCAGTAGATAGTTTGTGTCTGGAAGATCAATACATTTCAATGCTGAAATGCAAGTGGAGAGTAAATTTGTTCCCCTCAGCTACCCAGTCTGGCCGTGGCTGTGACTGCATTGCAGTGATTTTTGTGGTGCTGAGAACATCAACTCAGTTCATATGCCACAGCTTTCCTGCCAGAGAGAATGTTTTTATCACATTAATAAAGTCAGGAGATCTGGAAGGAAAACAGGCTGATCATATTAGGTTGTTTTGGGGTTTTTTTATGAGCATTTGTACAAAGGGTATTTTATGCACTTTGGATGCTTAAAGAGAGGATTTGCTTGTGCTGTTTGTCAGTGTAGATCTTCAGTGACTGTTGGTGTCCTAAATGACTTCCTTATGCTTATAAAGCCCAGTCAGCTACCTAGGAGCAGGGATGGCACTGTATATGTGTGGCAGGTCACACCTACCTGTCCAAAATGCAGGAGAAGTTTGGAAATCAATTGCAAGCTGATGGCTTTCTTGTGTGTAGTGTTTCCCAGTAATTATCAGTAACAAATGAATTAACAGCAATCTGAAATGTTTCTTATTTCGTGACCAGATAACCTCTGACACTAGATTTTCAAAACTGTTCAGGCTTCAAGTTCTTAACTCAGAGCTGGATTCTCCAAAGGGCTCAAGTCAGAGGGGCACTGAAGTGTGGACCAAACTTACAGCTGCTGGAGACTGAGCAATTTTTGTCTTCCTCATACCCACATCCTGTGCTCTTTGGAAAATCTGCTCTCTTACCACAGTGTCCTTTGAAACAGATCATCAAAACTCTCCATTCCCTTGTTCTGATCCTTTTTTTTTAAACAACCCTGTACTTCATACACTGGTGACTTTTGTGCTTGGGCTCTTGTTTTGCTGCAGTATGTCACAGAGGCAGAGGGAAACCTCCAGCGAGCACGAGCCTTGGTGGATGGGATGCAGAAGGAGAAGATTGAGCTGTTGAACCAGCTGGAAGAGGAGAAGAGGTAAAGCAGGAGTGTGGTGAGGGAGGTGCAGTCATGTATGGGCAGTGGCAAAGGCTACAGGTGGTTCTGGCTGAGGATAGAGTATAAAATAAGTGTTGGATCATAAACAGGCCTGTGCAGGCTGGGCCATTGCAGACCCCTCTGTACAACCTTCCCCTTTGTTTGTGATGTGCTGATCTTGAGGACATTCCTGCTGAGGAAGGGAAGCCAAACTGGAGTACAGCCTTACTGTGGTGTGATTCACCCTCTCCCCGCATCCCAGAGGCTCCATCCATGTGTATATGATGATGCATTTCCTCTCTGGATAAGAGTGAAGATCTGCTTGTCCTTGTATATATGGAGTCCAATTTCTCCATATATATAATTAAACTCTTCAGTGGGAATAGAAAGACATTTCTGTGCATTAGATAACTGAAAACAGTTTTGGTTTCAATTGACTGATGCCCCTCCTGAGGATGAATTGTTCTTTTGTGCATGTCTCCCTCTTCTTCTGGTAGGCAGCTCGCTTTCCCAGCTCCAGGAGGCCCTTTAACCCAAGACAGCTGAGTTTTTCCCTAAATATCAACAGATGCCTCCTCTAATTAGAAGGAGGTTTAGATAAGGAAGCTTGTTTATGAGGTTAGATATGTACACTCACAGCTATTTTTATCTGTAACAGAATCAGAGTCCTTACATCTGGCTACCAGCTCAACATCCTCATTATTGCCTTTTTTTTTTTTAATCAGTAAAGAGAACAAAGAGGGCTGAGTTTAGCAGAAAATTGAATTATTTTGTATTGTTAGTGGGTTCTCTCTTCCAAAATAGAAGAGTCCTCGACATGCCTGTGTTTGTGCTTGTGGTTCCATGTGCATTTATCCATTACTGGCCTGTACAGTCTGTGGGGAAGGCTTTTCTGCCAGGGTAACTCACAGTTTCCACGTTGTGGAAACATTAAGCACTGCCCACCCTCTGCCAAGGAGTCAGAGGTTCCAATTCCCTTGGAATACTTTGTATGGACCCCGTGCATTTGGCACAGGAATTGCCCAGTGCTCAGCTGGAGGATAACAAGGTTTAAATAAAGCAGTGACACTTGGCTGTGGTTTGCATGTTTTCAGGATCCCAGTGTCAGAGAACAGTAGCTGTGTGTGTCTGGGAGGATGTACCTTGCAAGAAGGCCATGTTTGCTGTGTGGAAAGCTTGTCCTGCTCCATGGATCTTGCAGCTCAGTTTCTGCTGAGCTGTTTGTATCCAAAGGTGGTCTGTCTCCCTCTCCTCTCAGACTTTGGTTCTGCAGACCATGATGTTGTTGGTTTTGTTTTTTTTCCTAGAACACAAAAAATCTTACCAGTAGCTTTTGGGCAGCTTTTCCATTTGTTTGTAATGATCTCTCCATTGATGCCCTGTCCCACCAATCCATAAAACTTGAGTAAGGGTCATAGTGAAGAGGCCCCATGTGTGTGGCTGCTTAGACAGAGGGTGCTGGTCTGAGTGTTCCTGATTGCTCTTTGTGTCTTTTCCTCTCCCCAGGAAAGTGGAGGACTTGCAGTTCCGTGTGGAGGAAGAATCCATTACAAAGGGGGATCTGGAGGTAATTCCTAACGATGTTACCAAATTATGGGGTCAAAACCTGAAACTGCATGTGGGGCCTCCCTCAAGTAACCTCTGCCACCTTTTACTCCAGTCTAAGCAATACTTAATGGATGGCTTTGGACCTGCTGTGAACACCAGGGTGTAAACTGTGAGGATTGATCTTTGGTGTGTTGCCCAATGACTACTCACACTGGGAGCTGCATGGAATTAATCTGTCACCCTGAGTTGCCAAGTCATGTTAAAATCTTTATCTGAATGTGTTGCAACATATGTTATTCCATCTAGAAATGAATTGACTGCTCAGTCTCTATCCCTGCAGTGTCCTCCTCTTAGCAACTGGTGGGGCACACATGATCTCCTGGTTGGATGCTGTTAAATTCCAGATGAAATGCTATATATCCTGAGGAATCCTTGTGTGGAGTCCCCTGCCCACAGGTGTGGGGTTGGACACCAGGGCTGACACCCTGTCATTGGGAAGGGCTGTTGCAGTGAGCATTGTGCAAACTGGAAGTGATGTTGGGAGCTTGCCCTTGAGTGGGAGGCTTTTCCAGGGGAGAAAAAAAGAAAAGAAAATCTCTCTGTGAAAGCAAGGCCCTGCTCTCCACGTGTAAATCAAGAGGATTTCCCTTCTCTTTAGCCAGAGTGCCAGGTTAGTAACAGCCAGAAATGTCAAGGGCCCTGTGCCTGTTATTTGCTGTCAGTCATAGCAATAGAAGCCCAGGAAAATTGGAAAACTAGGCAATGGATATGTTGCTGTGGTTGTGACCCTCTTGGCACAAACCTCTCCTCTTCACCCAGAAGCTGAAGGAGCTGTTTGACAGGGTGTAAATCAGCACTGCACTGATAGCAGACCTTTGCTAAAGCACAGCAAGTGCAGTTTCTGGCTGGTGTGTGGGTGCAAAATCAGGTTTCCATTGACCCTTGAGCTGACAGGTTCCCCCAGTGTTGTAGAGAAAGGTGGTTGATCCATCCATCATTCCCTTTGAGAGCAGTGAATTGTCCCTGTGGAAACTCCAAGTGTTTAAGCCTGGCTGTGTAAAACTGGCAACGGGACCAGGGTTAACCACCAGGTGTATTTGGATGTACTTTTTTTTTTTTTTTAAAGCCATCATGCTTAGCAAGATGATAAACTGCTGTGACATATCCTCACACTGGGACCTGCAGTCATAGATCTGATTTTCCTGGGTGGGAAGGAATTATTATGGGAATGTGGCCAAGCTTCCAGCTGTTACAGTCCTGTCCTCACTTCCATATTTGTCTGTATGAAAGACCAAATAGCTTAGGAAAGCTTGATTTCCTGTGATCCAGGGAACTGGGATGTTCTCCATGAGTCCAACATCGGTGCCAGCACAGGCATTGGCAGAGGGCTTGGCTGTGGTCAGTTTTTACATCCTGTCCTGTCTAATTTGGATACTCATACTTGAATGAGTGACCCCCTGGAGCAAAATCTCACCTTCCTGCTTTGTTGTGGAGGCAGTTAGGATTTCCAGAAGTAAGTAATTAACTTTTGAGGGGAAAAAGAACCTCCAGGCCTCCTATTGGAAATCAAGGAGGGTAAGTGCTCCTTTATGCTTTGGTGTTTTTCCTGGGAAAAGGCTGTTCCTGATATTCTTCATGTGAAATCATAACAAAGTCAAGCAGTGGCTGCAAGCACAGCCCTTGGCATCCCTCTCTGGAGCTGAATGGACCAAAAGCAAAACCCAGTGACAGTTGACTTCCCTCCTCTGGTCTTGTAGTCCTCTTACACCACCAGCTCTTCCAAATATTCAGAGGGGAATGTTTATCTTGACTTAACAGACAGTGATGGATATGATGGTAAGAACAGATTCTCTCTCTGTGGTCCCTGGATCCCGGGTTTCTGCTGAAGGCTTGGCTGAATCCCTACTGTTTGTCCCAGTAGTATGTAGGTTTTGAACAAATCCAGGGCTCTTGGGTGTTGAGCATGGCAGGCAGCATCCTTGGAAACTCTCTGACCAAAGAAATCCTTCTGTTGGAGGCCTGATGATACAGATCAAGGTTTTGGACCTCTGGTAGAGCAGCTGTGGATTTAGCACTGAAATGAAGTTATGAATTCAACCCATTTTTGATCCAGGTTGGCAATGCTGATGCTGTGGTGCTTTGGAAGATGAAAAAACAAATGCAGGAAAAGCTTTCAAGAGCTTTGCAAGATGAAAAACAAACACAGGAAAAGCTTTCAGGAAAGGCTTTTTGTGGTGGAAAAAACACAGTTTATAGGAAATATTATCCTCATCAAGGAACTCTGTCATGCTCATCTCCTGGGTCCTGCAGCATGTCTTGGATGCCTCTGGGAAGTCAGTTTGTAATTTGTGAACAGTAATTTAAGGCTAATAGCTACAAGTAGGTCTGAAATTCATATCTGAACTTCCTCAAAGTGCAGGAAAACTTCGAATTTGAGGCTCTGACTCATCCTGGCTAGTGTTGGCAAACCAACTTGCATAAAATAACACAGGATTTGATGCAAATATAAAGTTAAGGGCTGTAAAACAGTTGATCTAACTTTCTTCCCTGTTGATTTTTTTTTTTTTACTCTATTTTAATATGTTTTTCCAGACTTGGAAAACAGAAGGATTAATAGGTACTGAGCAAGAATATCAGATGTGGTTGACTGGGAACTTGATTGTCAACCCCAGGACTCTGGAGTCTCTTTGGGAAGTCCAGAGATGAGTTTTGTACTAGGTCAGCTTCTTCAGGTAGCCAAACTCTGATGTGCTGCCACCAGTTAATTCACTGATGTCCATGGAATATTTATTCCTGTAAGTAAAATCAAACCTGGAGCCTCTATCTTGAAATGTGGATCTTTGAGCTTTGCAGAGAGCAGAATTAATTTTATTTAAGTAAGTAAATATTTTTCTTTTTCTTATTAGGATGCATTCAGCCAACTTTTGCACTTAAATGATATTATTTGGGGGTTTGATATTTAGGTTCTTGAACGGACATCTTTTTTCCCCTCCTTCAGGGGTCAAATAGAGCACATAAAATAAGGAGTAGTCCTGAATATATCTTGAAGTTGAGATCTTCACCATCTATGAATACATGTGTAATGATATTTTTCAAGCCTTAAAACGTGGATTTTTGCAAACCTCAGTTGCCATCATTTATACACAGCTAAGACCTACTTTATAGTAGGGAAAGGCAGAAAATCCTTAAAACTTGTTCCAATAGAAAGAAGGGGAAGCAATTATATGGAAAATGAAGGGCAGAAAATGGGTGTAAAAAGTGGTTCTGAGCAGGTTTATTTGCTTTTTGGTAGATTGATTTTTTTTTTTTTTTAGTTTGGTAAATTAAATTTAATTTAAAGAAAAATGTTGGGTTTGTAAACTAAAAAAAAAAATATGTGAAGGCCAGAGTCTGCATGCATTTCCCCATGTCTCCTCTCCTCTTTTATTTATGGGGAAATTTTACATGATATTTTACAGTGGTGGTTGTGGAGTGCTGAAGTTTGTCACCAAGTGCAGCTTTGTGGTACTTCTGCTTTAAAAGTGAAGGGCACTGAAGCAAAGCCCAAAGTCAGTGCCCCTGGATTTGGGCAGGTTACATAAACTCCTTGTGCTTAGCTTAACCATTTGCCAAAAAAAACAAACAAAACCCCAAAGCAGCAACAACAACAAAACCAAACAAATAAAAACAAAAAACCCCAACCCAAAACAAAATAGTTGTTTTCTTATGCCAAGGCTGGTGGAGTCTTGGTGTGCAAAAATCACTTCTTGAGATTCCAGGCAGCCCTATACAAACCCAAAGCACTGATTTGTAGGACAGTTGGGAATCTCAGTCTCCCTGATTTGCTTCAGTGCAGTGTATTTGGGGTTTTACAACACTCCATGAACAGTATGACCTTCTTGTTCTCCCACTTAGTGCAGGGGTCACAGAGTCTCCAGAGCAAAAAGAGGATGGGAACTTCCAACTCTTTTCAGTCTACCTTGTGATCCTTCTTGAGGAGAGACTCAGAGGATCATTGCAAGGTCTTTGCATTCCCTGTGTGGTGCAAAGGCCTTGTACTGGTGGGAGCTTTGCTTTTTAGGAAGTGTCTCCAGCTGCTGCAGGAAAACCCTGAAACAAGGTTTCTAATGCAGAAGGGATGTTTTCCATCACATATTCAGTTTTCCTGTGAATAGCCACTACAAGTACCATGTAAAATCCCTTAGGGACCGTTTTCTATTTGGTTGGATTTTCCCTCCTTGTTTGGATCTTTATTCTCCTCCTGTTGTGAACTGCCTTTCCTTGTCTTGTACGCCGGAGATGATGTTGCAGCCTTCTCTTTCCCTCTCTTTCTCTCTCTGTCTCCCTCTCCCTTCCCCTCCTCCCACCTCCACTGTTCTCTTTTCCCTCTGTGTGACCAGACTCAGACGCAGTTGGAGCATGCCCGAATACGGGAGCTCGAGCAGAGCCTGCTGTTTGAGAAGGCACAGGCTGAAAAACTCCTCAGAGAATTAGAGGACACCAGGGTAATGGACCCCCACTTGCCCTGCCTGCAGAACAGCGCTTGCCCCTGCGTTGATGCTCATGATGCCTTGCTTTTGGGTTTCTTTCTTTTGGTTTTTATGGGGTTGATTGATTTTTGGCTTGAACTTTAAGCTTCCCTGATTTTTTATTTTTTTTTCTTGGTTGGTTGGTTTTTATTTGCTCTCTCTCCTGGGAATAGTAGTATGATATGATTTCTAGCTTTGCTTCTCATGTGGGGACTTGTTTCTCAGACTGAGTTTGCTGCTCTGCCCCATGCCACCATCTGACACACGAGCTCTTCACAATTCATTTTTCAATTAACATATCCCAATAATATCTGCACCCTGCACAATTCATTCTGCATTGAGGCTGCAGTAGGAAATGACATTGCAATCAGCATTCCCTTTGCTCCCCCCTGCCAGCTGTGGGAGCTGCCATCTGCAACGGGACATACTGGTTAGGGCAGGTGGGCCTGCTCTGATCCTTGGACCAGGCTGCCCAGAAGAATCCTAAAAGCAGACAGATCTGGAAAGGGCTTTTTCACGCTGGTGTGGTTGTGGGAAGCAGCAAACTTGCTGCAGTGAGCTTATGTCTCACCAATGGGTTTGAAAGCTGTAGAAAAAGCAAACATGAGGGACTCCAAAAGGTCTGGCTGGTTTGAACCCCCCTGTGCCCTCCTAAAATAACCACCACCAGCCTCCTGGGCCGATGGTTGGTGGGGAAACAGCAATTGAAACGGAGTAGAATTCATCACTTAGGTTTTGGCTCGGTTTCCTTGTTTCTTCTGCTTTTTTTCTAATATTTCATCTAGTCAAATCTCTTCTCCATCCACAGCTGCAGCACCCTGAACTCCCTGTGACTCACAGGTAGTTCAGCCCTGCCAGGTTACAATCAGATCCTAAGATATTGATCCATAGCCCTTATGCTCAGTGTTCACCATGGCCAGATTTATTGTCTTGCATCCTCTAGCCTCCTACGTTATTTTGACTTTGCTAATAAACTCTAACAAGTACTCATGTGTAAAAATCCCTTTTCCTTTTTACACCAGGGTAAACAAATTCTGTTACAGCAGAGGGGTCTGTAGGCTGAGGATTGCTGAGCAATAAAGGAAACATGATATGCTTAATGCTGGTTTCGATGCTTGTGATATTCCTGCATGTGCAGTCACATCTCCTCTGTGCATCATCTGGCAGGATGCCTGGTCTGAAAACATAATGCCCTTCCAGGACATTATTTTTCATAAACCACCGTTGCTCTCTAGCGAATTTCAATGGATATTTCCAAGATGTTTTTCTGTGGAAAGCGAGAGGTTCCTATTAGAGGAAAACAAATTGCAATTGGCACAGTCATAACTGCGAGTTGTCAGTGCTGGTTACCCTGGTGCAAAACTGTGCTCAAGTTGGAGGGTGCCGGGTGTTCTTTTGCTGTTTATTTGAATTTTGACTGATGTACTTTGGATTTACCTCCACTGGAGCACACTTACTAAAGGGGGAGGACGCAGCGGTGAGAGGCGGGCGCTGACTTTGTGTTCTCTGTTGTGTTGCAGTTAACAACAGTGGCAGAGAAGTCCAGGATCCTGCAGCTGGAGGAGGAGCTGAGCCTCAGGCGCAGCGAGGTGGACGAGCTCCGTCAGTGCCTCAGGAGCTCTCACCAAGCAGAGAGCCCCGAGCATAACCTGGGCTTGCAGTCGGAGGCTCTTCGGCTGCGGGATCAGCTGCTCTCTGCCAACAAGGAGCATCAGAAGGAGAGCAGCCAGCTGAAGGAGAAGTATGAGAAGACGTTAAAGAAGTACCAGCAGGAGATGGAGAAGCTGAAGTCTGTCAACGAGAAGTACTCGCAGGAAATCGTTGACCTAAAGCATAAAGTTCAGCAAGCCACTAACGAGAACATGGGGCTCATGGACAACTGGAAGTCCAAGTTGGACACGTTGGCTTCTGACCACCAGAAGTCTCTGGAGGACCTGAAAGCCACACTGAACTCAGGCCCTGACACCCAGCACAAGGAGATCGTGGAGCTGAAGGCAGTGGTGGAGAGTATAAAGATGGAGCACCAGCTTGAGCTGGAGAACCTGAAAGCAAAGCATGACATTGAGACAGCTGTGCATGTAAAGGAGAAAGAGAGTCTCAAACTGAAGCTGCAGGAGGCTTTGGATGAAGTGGAAAAAAGCAACAGCAACTGGAAAATGCAACTGGAAACCAAAAGCAGTCAGCACCTTCTTGAGCTCCAGGATGTGAAGGACAAGTGTCGAGATGCTGAGCTGAGGGTGCATGAACTGGAGAAACTTCATGGTGAATACACAGACCAGACAGAAGCAATAGCTTTCTTGAAAGAGCAGATTTCTTTGGCTGAAAAGAAGATGTTGGACTATGAAACGTTACAGAAAACAGAAGCCCAGAGCAAACAGGAGATCCAAAGATTGCAGGAAAAAGTGCTTGTCTTAGAGAACAAGCTGCAGTCCATGGAGGCCCTGCACCCTTCTCAGCATGCAAATGTATGACTTTGGGGTAGTTTTGCTTGTTTATCATCACTGTTGGTAACCCTTCCTAGGAGTAGCCCTCAGCTGCTGCCTCGTGCAGTTTTCTGAGGCTCAAATACCTGGATGTTTTTTTCCTTCCACTGACAGTGCTCCTTCTGCACTGTATCTCCATGCTGAAGGTGTCTTCCCACTCTTGAAATCCAGTAGGAAAAATACGAGTCAGGAGAAGCAAGTGGGGCCACACCTGGGCTTGGAGGCTGCTGTGGCAGCAGAGCAGGGTGGTTGTGGTTTGTCAGGGTGGGCTCTCATCCTGAGCAAGCAGCGTTCTGAGCTGGAAAAGCATCATTCTTACAGTACAGGTGTATTCCTCCAAGGAGCTGCAGCAGCCTTGGTGTCCTTTGGGGTGGGTGGAGGGAGAGGGTGGATGAACAGTTGCCCTGAGATAGGGCAACATTGCTTTCTCAGCACCTGGAGCAGGATTTAAGAGCCCCAGTGAGGGGGCTGAGCTGTGGGATGGGAGGGGGGATGTGCCAGCAGCACAGCAGAGGCGGTGGGGAGACTTCACAGCATGTATGGGAGACAAGGAAATGTTGATTTGAGGATTATAGTGGGAGGGCTGCTGGCAAGGGTCAGGATGGCACCAGGCTGGGGAAACAAAATGCCTGATTGAATATGAGTCCTGAGCCTCCCAGGGAAGGCTGGAATAAGAGCAGTAATAATATGAAGAGGTCGTTTTTCTGTGGCCTTTGTCTCTTTGTCATCCTTTTTTTTTTAATAGTCCCACAGGATGCCATCATCCTGCCTTTGTGCATGGCACAGGGACACGTGGCTGGTTCTGCACTGGAGTGAGGGGGGAGATTGCTACTTCTGGCTCGAGGCTGGGCCCCTATTTGTGTTTGGATTCTGCATGAGAAATGAGCAAAAAACCCCAATTTACCACTTGTCCCTGTGGGGATGCAGAAAATGAAAATAAGCTGTAAAATGTGCATGTTTTAAGAATGCTGTCTTGAAACTTCACTGGTGATGTAGTTGCTGTTCCAGACAGAGTTGCCAGTGAAGTGAATTCAATGCCTGTGTTTAATTTCCCAACACCAACAGCCCCACTGAAACCAGCTGCACCTTCAGGTAACAAAATAAAGCCCATGAGTTCCTGTTGGCCAAGTCAGAGCTTGCAAAAAGGCACACTGAGGAGAGGCAAAAGCCAAGGAGGAATCTACAGCACTGATGGTGTTTCAGGGGTTGCTCCAGCGTGTTTCATCTAGTAGAGACAGTTGGGAACAATAAGTAGAGTCAGGGCCCTGGGAAAAGAGGGCTGTTATTACAACATGTCACCCATGTTATAGCTGAAATTCAAACAGGAATGAATGGAAAAGAAGAAGCTGGAGGCTCCTTCCAGAGCCCTTTAGATAAATGAGAGGGCTCTGGGGGATATTGATACTGGATTAGAAGTGGGGAGTCTTGAAGTAATTATTTCAACTGTGTGTCGATTAAAATCAGGAGAATATGGGAAAAAATGCCTGGGTGAAAGCCTTTGAGGACCACAGGTCAAGTTCTATTTTAAAATGTTAATTTAAAGTGACTGCAATGGTATTAACTGTTTGAGTATTTTAAACAATCAAACATGTCTTGTGACAGTCATTCCTAGATCTTCAAGTGAGAGCCACAACTGTGCTTCCCAAGAGCAGTTTAGTTTTTCTGTACCAAAAGTACATCAGGAAATGGGTTTCCCTTTCAGGGGTGCTCCTGCTTCTGTTTGTGTCCTACAACCCACTCAGACTTCTGGGGACTGACCTCAGGGCTCTCAGTGGTGGCCACAGTGGCCTCATGTCACAGAAAGCTTGACTGTGAGTTCTGTGGCCTCTGGCTTTTCCTTGCAGTATAGAAAAGGGGGGAAAGGCAGAATCCTCTATATGGACCAGCATTTGCTTGTTATTCTTTTTATTGATGCATTCATTCTCTAATTATTATTATTTTATCAATGTGTTTATAACTTGGGGCACAGTTAAGTCCTTCAGAAGCTGAGGAACTCGTTGACTGGTGGGTCTCAAGCTGAGTGCTGGAGAGCATTTGCATCTGAATATTCACTGTGATGGACCAGAGGAGCCTGGTCTGAGGGAGAGCAGCTCTTCCATCACTGTGCAAACTCTGAGTGTGCAGAGCTGGACCCAGAGCTTGTGGGAAAAGCCTGAGCTCTCTTCCCTCCTGGGTGAATCCCACTGTTGTGCTCAGCTGCCTGTTGTGTGTGGGCACTCTCAGATGGTACTGGTTGCCCAAAAGGACAAGTGGCTCCTCTAAACCCTTTATTTCCCTCTTGGGAAAGATGTGAAACACCCTTACTTGGTTATTGAATACCCTCTGCTTTGGATGGGGCTTTGTGGTTCTTAACTTTGCTTTAAATCTTTGGGTAAAATGTTGGTTTACATCTCATGTCTAACATTTATTTCAGATGATTGAAACTAATGATATTTCAGAAGAAAAGATAAAGATGAAGCAGACTATGGAAGGTATGAAACGATAGTTTTTATGTGGAAAACCCTGTTCTAGTAGCTTATGTGCTTTTTCCTCCTCTGACTTTCTGCTCTTGCAGGCACAGCTGCATGGATGGGGCTTAGGAAGTCATTTCATCTCTCAGAATTTGCTGGATGGCATTTGTTGCCTGGCTTTGGTTTTTTCCTTCTCTTCTGGCTGAGTATATGCAGGGAGGGAAGTTTTCATTTTTATTACACACTCACTATGCAGGTGCTGTGGGTTGGAGACAGATCTGGGGAAATAGGTACATTTCCATCTCATCACTGATTCTTACAGCAGGTAAAGTTCAGACCTGAAATGTCATTTGTTCATAGGAGAGGAGTGATGATGGCAGATATTAATGTGACCGGCTTAAAATAACGAGGGCTACTTTTTATTAAGCTTACAATAAATCAAATCAGTCCTTCTACCAAAACTTGGAATTTTATGCACTCAGAAAATTTGCATAAAGGAAATTGAAACTGAACTGCACTCAGCCCCCTCACAGAGGGTGAGCTGTAACCCTGAGTCTGAGCAGCAGCAGAGCTGGATGGCCCAGACAGCCCCTGTTAGGATGCAGCACTTTAAACTGAGGTTACTGGGGACTTTTACTGGCTTAAACTTCACTTAATAGAACCTTTGTTCAGTTTGAGTGTTCCTCCAGCTGGTGGTGGATTCAAACAGAGATGTTTTGTCCTATTTCCATCTGCCCTCAGTGCAAGCCAGGCTTTGTCCATCAGCCTCATTTGTCTTTGCAGGTACAGTTTTATGCAGAGCACATACGTGCTGTACCCCATCCCTGGAAGTGTCCAAGGCCAGGCTGGATGGGGCTTGGAGCAACCTGGGCTAGTGGAAGGTGTCCCTGCCCATGGCAGGGAGTTGGAACAAGATGATCTTTAAGTTCCCTTCCAACCCAAACTGTTCTAGGTTTCTGCACCAAACTGTTTGCTGATTGACAGGTAATTCCTGCCCAGTCATGGCAGAGCTTAGCTGGTCCAGCAGCCACTGCTCTAAATGGTCACTCAGCCCATATGTGTGTTGTTTCCATGCTGAATAAGCCAAAGATAGATAGATGTACTGAAAACAACCAAGTCAGACTTGAGCCACAAAAGCATCAGACTTCAGATCTACAGCTCTGACTGTGGAAATGCATTAGTTCCAGAAAACATGTCTTTTGGAACTATCTCTGCCTTCCAGTGTAGGAGGTGATACAAATAAATGTTCTGAAAGTTCCTTTGGTGGTTTTTATTTATGTTTTATTCCCCTTTTCCCCCCTCCTTTGTGGTTATTTTCTTAAACCTGTTTGATATGACTTCCCAGCTGTGCATCCCACCTCCAAATGCCTGGGAGGTGATGAGATGCAGCGAGAAACACGTGTTATCTGTCTCCTGCTGCTTCTCTGCTGATGAAGGGTACCATCACCATGCCCTGTGCACCCCAACCTGTGCCATACAGTCAACACCTCCCTGATTTGCACAAAGCACTTTCCAGCCTTCTGATCTTTGTCTTTTCATTTCCCCACAGACCTCCAAGACAAGCTGAGTAAAAGAGACAAAGAGGTGTCGTCCCTGGTGTCCCAGACTGAAACTCTAAGGGCCCAAGTAAGTGGTAAGTTTCCCTAATCCAGTGTTGGTGGGAATGAGGCGTTTCCCTCCTCATCCTCTGTTACTGGTGTTGAACAAGGGCCCAGGTGCTGAAATGGGCTGGTGTAAAACATGATGCTGCTGATCTTTCAGTGGGTAATGTTGGTAAAAATTAATTCGGGAGTTGAACACAAACACTGCAGGAAATATTTTGTATCCTGTGAGGGAGGGTTTGGGTTCCCTGAATGTCTAAAGCTAAAGAGAGAGAAGTCAATGGAGCTGAGTGTTGTTTCCAGGATCTCCCCTTAAATAGGGTCAGATCCAGAACTAAACACATCTGTGCTCTTAGGAGTGGGAACTGGGAAAAGGCGAAAAGTGGGAATGTAAGTCAAGGACCAAGTGACCTTTCTTCCCCCAAATCCTCTGCTTCTCATAGCTTTGGAAAATAAATGCAAAACAGCAGAAAAGAAGGCTGATTCAGTGTTCAAAGAAAAGAAGAGGCTGGAAGGGGAACTGGAAGCCTTGACCAAGAAAACACACGATGCTTCAGGGCAACTGGTCCTGATTAGCCAGGAACTGCTCAAGAAGGAAAGGTCAGTGTGCAGGTCTGGAGACAGAGGGGCTCTGTGTGTATTCATGTTCATTCTGGGTGTTTAACTGACCACCTGAAGGAATGTAGACATTGTTGAAGTCCAGCCCCCAGTTTTCCTGTTCTTTAGAGATGCTGATGTGGGAATTTGGTTAGAATTAGGGGCTGTGAATTCTCAGAGGCACTACCCTGTCACTCACTGCTTGCCAGGAGCTGCAAGACAGCTCAGTGCCCATGTAGGTGCTGAATGAAGTCATCTGCAAGCCAGCCAAGCTGGCAGCTGCCCTGCTCCGAAACAGTGCC